TAGAGGTGTGTCTACAGAGGTCAGCAAAATAATTACTTTTCCTCTTGTCATACTTTGTTGGTAAATTTTTTTTCAAGCTTGGAAAAAGTTTGAAATGGAGAACGAAATAGTGAATTTTAGACTGACTGAAGGGAAAAAATAAAGACACGAAATTTGGGGGAAAAAAGAATCTCCTCAGGTTTTGTAACTATGGCTACCATTTTTGCTTTTGAACAATTTAAATTTACCTGCAATGTTTTTTTTTTCACAGAACAAAAGAGCAACACTCCAGTGTTCCTACGGACAGAAAAAAAACCTGCTGGAAATATTTCCTACCATGGTCATAGGCCTCAGAATGTGGTCCGACTTGGAGGCATGATCTGATTTTGTGGGCAAATTTGCCCAAGCATTGCATGTGTATGCTATGGAGGTGAGAAGGGGAGATAGTGATAGAGAAGAGAAGAGATTGTTCTGTCTTGGCTCCGAAGTGCTGCTTTGGTCTGTGTTGGACATGGACGGTCAGGCTGGCAAGATTTGATCATGGAGGAGGGCCCTACACTTACATATAGAAATGTGTATTGCTGACTCAAGGGGATTAAAGACCCCTATTTGTGTCCCTCTGATTGGGATAATTTGTTATAAAAAAAAAAAAAAAAAAAAAGGGTGGATGCTATCCTGGTATCATGATGTGGTAACCTTGGCCTACTGATGCTCTACTCTGCCCCTATGGAAATGATGGTTCACTTTCACAATGTTCTTTAATGGATGTGCACACAGATTGTGTTTAGGAAATCGTTAAATCATTTGGGTAGCATACTGTTCACACGTTTCCTGAAGAAGACAATGCGTGTTAAATGTTGATCCTTCATGTGTACCACTCGTTTGAGTTACAAGATTTTCTATGGAGAGCAAATTTGTGAACCTTTTGGTTGGAATATTTGGACATAATTTTCTAAGTGTCTGTTTAAACTGGCGCACAAATATTTTAATATTGGATTTTACAACATATGTTAATATTGTAGTAGAACATCTGTTTATGTAGTTAGCAGAGGTTTCCTTATGGCCTAAAAAGTCCTTGGCTATACATGTTTTCTCGAACTGAATACAGTAGTAAATGGGCGTTTTCAAACCTGCCCTTCCCATCCGAAGTGGTCAACCAACAGCTACCTGCTGCACCATAGACATAACATTTTAGTCCAAGATCAGGCTGTAATGGTCTATGGCCAGTTACAGGCAAGCCCCTTTTGTTGGGAGGAAGGCTTGTGAGATAATCAGACTTATCCAAACATTTTGGATTCGCTTAAATGTATGCATGTAGATCCACTGCATGTCCATTTTAAAGAACCCAAAAATTAATTGCATAAAAGCTAAATAACAGCATCAGAACACAAAAGTGTAAAGCAGAGGTTTTCATCCCGGGAACATAGGATACTTTGACATACAATTATGCCAAGCAATAGGAAGCAGAGTGGTTATCACGGCTTTTTCAATTAAATGTGCATTAAACTTCAGGGCTACTTATCAGCCCCTCTGTGACACACCTGTCCAGTTATTAATGATTAGCCACAGCAAACACTCACAGATCCCAGCTTATTACATTCCAATCAAAGAGAAAGGAATGACCAGAGGAGGACGTTAATTAGGTGCGTCCGCCGGCATGAAAGTGGCTTCAGAAAGGGGTCGCGGGTGGTTACAGCGATACTTTGATACCTGGCTGGAATTCTGGTTCTTATGAAACTCTTCAATGGACTTTAAGGGGAAATAAGAAAAAAAATGATGTCTGTACAATGTTCATTTTCAGTAATGCCACCGTGGCGTAAAGCTGGGGTGGTCGGGGTTTACTAGTACGAACCCATTTGATCTGCTCGGCTTGTTCCTGTGTACATAGCATACATTCATTCAAAATGAAAATGAGAATTTTAATGCAGTGCAAGATTTTAAAGGCAAAATGCAAATATTAATTTTTTTGTAAGTTTGCAGGTCTATACACTTGTTTTTTACACATTATTCATACATCATATTATTTTACGAAGAATGGCTATGTATTTGGCTGGACTCTCCTAGGAGGAAGGAGAGTGGGGGATTGTCACTCCTCCGAGTCATTCAGATCAATGCATGTGTTTCTATTCTCACTTTTCAGCTTTATTCACAACACGGACTATTCACAATATCATACTACACTGGCCTCTATTAGCCTACGGCTTGCTAGCTGCTCTTTGCAAGTTATATAAAATATTCACATGCAATTTTTCACATGTGTCCATCTAAAAAAATTATATATATATATATATATATATATATATATATATATATATATTTTTTATCCCAAACATGAATACAATAGAAAACACTATACAGACATGGTGACGTCGGTATTGCTCTGAACATCAAAAAAGCGAAATCACTACTGGTATCGGACTAACACATAAGAGAGTGTGAATAGCCAGGGGTGGGCAATCTAGAAAGCCAATCTGTTCAACAGAGGATTCAACCAACACAGGCTATGCAGCAGCAGAAAATGTACACTCCATCTGTAACTTTAAAAGCACATCATCCTCCTAAGACATGTCTGGCCAGGTTTAATAACCAAATGCCCAGCCGTTGCTTTTAGAAAAGACGGTCACTACATACCTATATAAGAACCATGGCAGATGCCCTGTACAACGAAGTGAGAAAGCACTACGGCCTCGACCCAAAGCACTATGAGGTACTGTTGCCAAGATCTAAACGCTGCATAGCTGAAACTAAGTGATACTTTAAAATGTCAAACCTTACAAATATTTCTCATTTAATGAACTAATAAACAAGACACTACTTTAAAATATTCATGGATGAGAAGAGGTTAGCATACGAAATGGCCAATACACATCTTTTCACTGAATGTGGAAACTAGCAATAACTTATCAAAAACACCCCAGTCCTCAGAAGAAAGGGGGGAAACGCTGTTCTCTTTAAAAGCCATGGTTAAGTTTATTGAAGCAAATTAATGTACAGACAAGTCCACTAGGTGCAACCAAATCCAATGCATTTCACTCCAAAACGCCTTAGACTTGGTTGCATCTGGTGGACTTTTCTGTGTATTGATTTACTTCAATAAACTTTAACTTTGGCTTTCACAGTTAGCAGCTTTTTTCCCTCCTTCCATCTGAGGACTGAGGTATTGGATCTGGAGTGGTTTATGATCATGGAGAGCCTGCTCATGATACTGGGTGGCTGGGGAAGAAGATGAAGCCTGCAGTGGAACATTAGTCTCTTTTCCCACAAATACCAACTAATTTATCATTGTAAGGAAGGTCTGACCAGTTTGGTGTGAAGAAAATTGAGTGGCCTGCACTGGATTGTGATCCAGGTCATCTCATCCAACATCCGTACATGACCTTACAAATGGGCACAAATTCCCCCAGACACTCTCCTGTGTGTGTGGAGGCTCACAGAGGGACAACTCCATGGTTTGGGAATGGTTTGTCCAACATGGTGTGATGGTTGGGTGTCCACAAACATTTAACAATATAGAGTATACTAACGATATAATAAATATAATTTAAACCCTCCACTATATGATATGTAAAGTTTCAGTTCCAGTCACTCAGACACAAAATTGACTCAATAAAGATAATGCTGTAATGGGATTTTAAATTTATAAGATTACAAAATGGTGCTACAGACTGTTGCCCTCCAACAGATAATCCAAATGATTTGATGTAGCTAGCTAGTGTGAAGGCCAATATAGTATCATTGCTGCTTGCAACCAATTAGTCATAATTTGGCTCCTGTTAATCTAGAGCAGGAAGAACGATGAAACATTTTTTCCCATTGGTCGTTATGGATAAAATTGGTATTATCTGCAGTGGCAACTGGTAAATCTACCCTAGCCTGACAGGATGCTTCAGGAGACCTGGAGGGTATGCAGAGGCAAGGACACCCGGTAAGCAAGAGCACACCATTCAGTGATGGTAATGGTAACTTGAAATGGGCAACCACACCTAGCTGGACTTGTTATGTAAAGTTAACAATGTTTTGCAGCTTATACAAGCCACGTCTACAGATTCAATGAGTGTTAAGGACATACCCCAATATTTACAGCAGGTAGTATAGACTCCTTATTCCAATTTACCATGGACTGTGTAGTGGTTGATTTCCAAGAAATCACACAGATTGGAGGAGTGAAAGTTGTGGAAGCACCCTGGCCTAAGTACATCATCCCATCCTTGGTCTTTGGGCGTCTGCACAAGTGTTACTTATGTGAATTACATGGATAAAGATGTGAATTGTCATCAAAATGTTGGGGTAGAGATGTTGAATCAACATTATATGTGATTGGAATGAGGTGTTTGTGTTATCAGTGTGGATATGATTGCTGGGGTATGTTCCTAACACTCATAACTAAAGAAGTGGCTTTGATAAGCTACAAAATGTCTTCAACCCTACAGAACAAGTTCAGTTGAATGTGGCTAACTAGTACTAGCTATATGATGACCCAGATAAATGAAAAACTTCACAGACGTGTTAATGATAGTTTTCTACACAGTGAACTTTGTCATTAATTCATTCCTACAATCCCTCCAAATGCCTACTACGACTGTAGCATGCTATTCGTTACACAGCCAACATGTAAGGATAGTATCATGGTGATGGTGTTATCATTACAGAAGGTCTTCCAACTGATGTGGCAAATATATCCACATTCAAACAGTACAAAATCACACCAATCCCTTCTGCAAACTTCCACAGAATTTTTAAACACATTGTTACACTTTCTAAAGAAATCCAACTTTTGTCACAAATCGTGTTATCCTTTATATACAAAGCCTAGAACAAGATAAAATCTTTCACATAAAAAGGGGGAGGAAATTTTAGCTGTAATGCTTTTAAAATCCCATGTGAGTTTTCTGTGTGATCGCCACTCTTCAGTCTTGAAGTACGAAAGATTCTGATCTCTATAGGTCTTATTATCATTTTCTAGTGTCATTTTCTAGTGTTGATACTTTTCATTTTCACTAGAGCAGTGTAAATCAAGCATTTCCCAAGGCACCCTGTTAATTATGGACACCTAGAGCAGTTTAAAATTTGGACAGTCAATAGGCACCCTTTAAAACTTTGGACAGTCCCAAGGCACCCTTTATAATTATGGACAGTCCTGAGGCACCCTTTATAATTATGGACAGTCCTGAGGCACCATTTAAAATTATAGACAGTCCCAGGCACCCTTTAAAATTATGGACAGTCCTGAGGCACCCTTTAAAATTATGGACAGTCCCAAGGCAGGTCAGACACCTTTAAAATTATGGACAGTCCCAAGGCACCCATTAAAATTATGGACAGTCCCAAGGCACCCTTTAAAATTATGGACAGTCCCGAGGCACCCTTTAAAATTATGGACAGTCCCAAGGCACCCTTTAAAATTATGGACAGTCCCAAGGCACCCTTTAAAATTATGGACAGTCCCGAGGCACCCTTTAAAATTATGGACAGTCCCAAGGCACCCTTTAAAATTATGGACAGTCCTGAGGCACCCTTTAAAATTATGGACAGTCCCAAGGCACCCTTTAAAATTATGGACAGCCCCGAGGCACCCCATTCTAAAATGTGAAAAACTATTCTAGAAGTTTTATATAACGCAGCAACATCCACACTTGTAGGACACCCAACATTAGAGGTCAGTTATTCTTCCAAAGCACAATTTTGCACACTGGTACTGAGTAGTATTTCAATGTTTCTCTTCTCTCTCAGTTTTTCTCCATCAGCTAATGTGACCCCAGCACTGATGGAGAGGGGCAGGGGAGGGTCAAACTAGGATGCTGTGCAGGCAGCTGACATACTTCTTATCAACTGATGATGTCATTGGTTGTCAGGACGCCGGCGGCTAGAAGGTTGTAACGGTGCATAATGAAAACCTGTGGCTTTGTGTAACTAAAAGGCGGGCTTGTTCCACCCGTTGGCTTGTATACAAGTTTTGAGCAATTTTTAGACATTTTGCCAAGGCACACCTGAAGAAACTTCAGGGCACCCCAGGGTGCCTGGGCACTCTGGTTGAGAAAGGCTGACCTAGAGAACCATTCAGGAAACCTTTCGGGTGTCCCTAATATGATTTATTACATTGGGCTGGGGCAACAAACTTCAAATACATTTATTAAAAGCCCCAAGACACCTACAAAAATGCTTACCATTTATCAAGTACTCTTATCTTGTACTTTCATAAGCTCAATCAAGGGCATTTGTTGGCAATTAATCTTTGTCAGCAGCTGGTGACCTGCTGTGTCTAACTGATGGCAAATTAGTGCCAACTTGCAAGACTCTACCAACTAGAGAGACTACCTACTAGTGAGACTGTATCAACAAGGGAAATTCTACCAAATAATGAAACTTTACCAACTAAGGAGACCCTACCAGCAAGGGAGACTCTACCAACTAACTACTCTACCAGGGTATACTCAACTTACCATGGAGACTCCACCAAATAGGGAGACTCCACCAAATAGGGAGACTCCACCAAATAGGGAGACTCCACCTATCAGGGAGACTCCACCTATCAGGGAGACTCCACCTACCAGGGAGACTCCACCTCCACCAGGGAGACTCCACCTACCAGGGAGACTCCACCTACCAGGGAGACTCTGCGTAACAGTGAGACGCTGCCTACTACGGAGATTCTAGCAACTAGAGAGACTCTATTAGAGAGACTGTACCTACTAGGAATACTCTATCAACTTGGATGACAACCTACTACTGTGACTCCATCTACTAGTGAGACTTTACCTAATAGTCTGACTGCACCTACTAGTATGGTCCTACCTACTAATGAGACCCTACAAGTGGGACTCTACCTACTAGTGCTGCTTAAATGCCTTCACTAGATGCTGGTGAATACTGACAAAGTGCTGATAATTAGTGCACATTCATAGTGCTGCTAGCCATGTGCTAATGTCCATTTTTGTGAAACCTTTCCAAAGTTTTTTTTTATTGATATATCTTGAGAACAAATAATCTAAAAAAAAATAATGTATCCACTGCATGGAACACACGTGGTCATAAATATGACACAATAGGCCTGTAAACAACATGTGACCTGTTCTGTCACCCTTCCAACATGGCCCAATTAAGCAAAGGTAGGTTCGGCTCTGCAGGGAAGGACTGGAAACCTGTAGCCTGTGGAGAAAGGGTGCAAACACAACAATGTGGCCCTTTTATAGTTCATGTTCCATCACTAGCTTTCTTTGGTGTTCTCAACATTTGGCCACATGACTTCTCACAATCGCATAGAAAGTCAATGTTGGCAGTCTTTTCTCCGTTGGGGTGCTAGGATTGTAGGTCTGAACAGGAAACAATTAACTATTTAATGCTCACTAGTGGCATAACAATAGCCCGAGCAGCCCATGCTGCTGCTATGGGGCCTGGAGGAAGGAAGGGACCCCATTTGGGAGGTTGTTAAATACTACTAGACTGTGAAGTTTTCAGCATAGAAGGGCTGTCTTCAGTATTGTAGCGAGTAATAGTTCCCCCTTTGTGCAGTGTGAAGCATTTGCTTAGCTATCTTTGCAGTTCCGTTTGTTGCCCTGTGAACTTCTACAGACTGAAATGAACTCTGTATGCCTGATGACGTCACAAATCCTAGAGTGTCAACTCTAAAACGTTATAGTAGGTCTGATATTATTAGTTATTATTTTTATTCCTACTACAGTTATAACTTTTTTTCCAAATCACTTCTTAGTAGTGGACACATGCAGCCCGTCCTTGATTTAGGCATACTTTATGGTTAGATCAATGTATATTGTCATAGTTGACACCTTACCAGAGTGGGGCCATAAAAATTTTGCTATGGGGTCCCATGATTTGTAGTTACGCCTCTGATGCCCACCATATGCAATTGGCTTCCTACTCTGACCTGAAGTTCTGAATGTTGGATTATTGCCACTCAGGGCCACCGGTCCAACATATCCCATTAGCACTGGCCTAGGAGGGCAATTCTTAGGGCCTTCCTGCCCCCCAACCCAGTCCTGCCCCACCAGAGTACAAAATCACAATCCTCAACAAAAATAGCACCCAACCCACGAGAACGGTTTCCCCTGAGAAATCCTGTATAAGAAATAGGATGCAGTATTGACAAACATTTCACTGGGAGTTACTTACCACGATGTGGCCCGGAGACGGAGACCTGGCGTCCTTCATCGCTTGCCGACTCTGTAAACCCCCTGCCTGAACGTCCAACAGGGGCCATTTCATCTGCAGGTACTGGAAGGGCAGCAAAAGAAAGGAACAAAAAAAAAGATGAATGATTATTGTTTTAGAAATGAAGCGCACAGATATCAATGATCAAAAATACACAAAAAATGACCACGCACTCTGCAATCTCATTGTACAATCTACTTTAGATCTATGCAGTGCAGAGGCCTGCCTGACTGAATGCAAATTAAATGGGTTGTCTAGGTATGTCTTCATGTTATGTAGTTTTGGTAAATCAATAGGAGATTGTACAATCAAATGGTAAAATGTATTGTCAGCTGCAGAAAGAGATCACACCATGCAGGGTGCGGGCGTATGGGGCCCAGACAATGACACACACAGAAAGCACAATGCATACGCTTATAATAATACCTTATAGGTTAGTGGAAATCAGTCAAGAAAAGTTCCAAGTCAAAGACTGGTCATAAAGGGGCACACCATAAAATATGGCATTTCAAACTTTGGTTTGAGAAAACCAACACAAAGTCTCTACTATCTATTGGCAACTATCTGGGTGAGATCTTTGCTCTGAGTTCCTGCCTTTGAACACCTGCTGTTCCCAATATGAGGGGTTTCCACCATCCCCACACTAAGTTCCTGGGTTGGTATACCTGCTGTGACCATTATGGGGGTGGGGGAGGGGGGGTGTTACACCATCCCTGCACTGGGTTCCTGGGTCGGTATACCTGCTGTGACCATTATGGGGGGGGGGGGGGGGGGGGGGGGGTATGGGGGTGTTACACCATCCCTGCACTGGGTTCCTGGGTTTGTAACCTGTTGTGCCCATTACGAGGGGTTCCCAGCATCCATGCAATTTACAGGGTTTGCACCTCTAATATGTCCATCGTGAAGGGCTCCCACCATCCCTGTACTGAATTCCTGGGTCTGCACACTTGCTGTGCCCATTATGAAGGGTTCCCACCATCCCTGTGCTGAATTCCTGGGTCTGTACACCTACTGTGCCCATTATGAGGGGTTCCTTCAATTCATGCATTGAGTTTCTAAGTCTGTATGCCTGATGTACCCATTCTGAGGGGTTCCCATTATCCCTGTATGGAGTTCCTTAGTCTGCGCACTTCCTGTGTCCGTTATGAGGGGTTCCCACCATTCCTGCACCAAGTTCCTGGGTCTGTACACCTGCTTTACCCATTATGAGGGGCTCTCCCATCTCTGCTATATATTTTTTTTATTTGATTGTATACTGAATGTAATAGAAGGAGTGGGGACACCCAAAGGTGCAAGAGAACACCCAAACCTCCCTATTGGACAAGGAGATCTTGCACATAACACATCAGGTGCTAACTTAACCCACTGGGCACCTATGACTATAATATCACTGTTGGATGGACTAGACCAGGTGTGGGCAACCTGCGGCTCTCCAGCTGTTGTGGAACTACATTTCCCATGAGGCATTGCAAAAACCGGAAGTTACAAGCATGACTCCTATGATTTGCAGAGGCATGATGGAACTTGTAGTCCTGCAACAGCTGGAGAGCCACAGTTTGCCCACCCCTGGACTAGACCCATTAAAAAAACATCCTAAGATAAAAATCAGATACTGACTAACATAGATATCTGTGACATGAACATTTTTCCCTCCAGCAGTACTGTTGCCCGGGACCTCCTCACATGATGTGTTTCACCCAAAAAGATTGGGCTTAATTGTAGAGACAAGGGAATCTATAGGCTTGTGAGGGGTGAGCATATTTCTGTATTGATTTACACATTTGCTGTCCTTGCTGCTCATTCTTCACCCTGAGTCTCAACCTTTGAGTTATATAGATGACAAACAGGGAAGAAAACCTTGTAGAGGTTCAAATCCATCATAAAAAAAGCACCCCATTGCACCTTACCAAGTGTGTTGCAGCACAAAGCAAGGCAAGCCACCGATGTGAGTTACCATACTCAGCCAGAAACAAGACGTACACCTCTTCTGATGCATTCAGGTGCATTGGGCAGGCCATTTACAGTGAGGAACAGAAGTATTTGAACACCCTGCGATTTTGCACGTTCTCCCACTTAGAAATCATGGAGGGGTCTGAAAATCACATTGTAGGTGCATTCCCACTCTGAGAGACGGAATTAAAAAAGAAAATTCAGGAAATCACATTGTATGATTTTTAAAGAATGTATTTGTCTTGCACTGCTGAACATAAGTATTTGAACACCTAAGAAACAGCAAGAATTCTGGCTCTCAAAGACCTGTTACTGTGCCTTTAAAAAGTCCACCTCTACTCCACTCATTAATCTAACTTAGTAGCACCTGTCTGAGCTCTTTAAAGACACCTGTCCACCCCACAGTCAGTCAGACGCCAACTACTACCATGGGCAAGATCAAAGAGCTGTCAAAAGACACCAGAGACAAAATTGTGGACCTCCACAAGTCTGGAAAGGGCTACGGGGCAATTGCCAAGCAGCTTGGTGAAAATAGATCAACTGTTGGAGCAATTGTTAGAAAATGGAAGACGCTAAAGACGACT